AACTATAGCGCTGCATTGAATTCATAAACCACCTTCAGCTTTCAAACAGTTCAGGTCTACACTAAAATAAAATTTTGGCGTCACATTCGCTGCAAGTACAATTCAGCCGATTTTACTACTAACTTACTTACTACAGCGCTATGACATCATTCACTATGGTATCTGAAACATCAACAAAGAAATTTCTTTTCTTTTCTGAATGCTTTTCATTGTACCTCTTTAACAGTTCCAAGCAGAGTTCATTCGTATTCTTCAGCTGGTACAATTTTCGATCTCTGACCCCTGTAGTGCGGAAGGAAGCGCCTTAATCGCGTTGTTCTATTGAGTACACGACTGAGTATGCTTTTCAACGAGAGGTACGCCCGACCATTCGCAGAAGTCATAAGCAATTGATGATAGTTCTTAAGAGTGGTTATAAGAGTACAAAAAGGTTGTCATAATCTCAAATCAAATTCCAGACGAGACAGTCAGTATTTTGTGAGTCAGTGGGTGTTTCTGAAATGCTTATTTGCTAGTTTATTGATCGCTAATTCCCATAGACGATGGCTTCACAGCAGCATCTAGCAAATATTTTATAGTACTTGCGATAACGTTTTTGGTCAGATTGATTATTTTGGCCTGTTCCACGTTCGCCTCGGTAGCAAAAGGTCAGCTACAACAACGAAACATATGCATGGTCTCAGTCTCTATAGAGCTTACTGAGGATTTAAGTGCAAGATCTTTCATTGAAGTTTAGGATAGCTTTATCAGTCGCCATGGTATTTGCTAAGATAATCTCTTCAACGGAGCCCAGTGTGTAGGCGCTGATAGACAAATGCGTGAAGATGTGAAGATAGGGCTATCATCATATGCACAACAGTACGTTGCTTAAATTACTACAGCTGCGCCACATCATGATGGTACCTAGGAAGCAGCGGTCCGGTCAGCAAAGAAACATTTCATTCATATTACGGACCAATAGTGATTGCGATATAATTAGCTGTCTATGCTATTGACAAGGATTGAAGATTGCCTGATACTACGGCCAATTGTAGCTCTTCATAATGACCAAGAAAGAGGATTAGCCTTAACGTCAGGCGATTCCATAATTGGCCGACCAATCACCACTTGCGTTGCTTGCAAGGAATGATTGAGCTTTTTTGGAAACTTTGGCAAAATGATTATCTTAATTTACTTCTACCTCGTTCCCACCCGTGCAGCAGTGGTCTTATTCGCATGATTATATGTTACAATAGAATACAACGGGGAGCTGAATTGAAGGAGGAAGGCATGTCAGCGTCCAGTACAAAAGGTGATAAGATTAACCGGAATACAAGAGAAAATTCTGAAGAGTGATGTTTCAGCCGGGGAGATTGTTTGAGATTATAATATTGTATCGGGTATAAGCCCCTTCTAAGTGTACATATGACCTGATTGTAGCGTTATTTCTTCTCTTTTTCGTTATTCGCATTCATCTATTTACATTTAGCCATATAAATGTACATTATGTCAACTTTTTGATCACACCTGGGTATCAGAAAAAGATTTTTTTGCAAATGCAGATTTTATTTGTAACGGCAATCCAAATTTATTTCATATGCAAAACAATTAAAGTAACAAATCAGCATTTTTTTTATTTCAAGCTCCGCTAATATTTTTCCAGGAAATATTCCCCTGACGTATCCGAGATTACACGCTTGACCGCAACCCAAGCATGTTCGATTGGATTGCGTTCTGGCGATTGAGGGGTCCGGTCGAGTACTCCAAAGCCATTGTTTTAAAGCCAATCTTTATCTGCCGAAGAAGTATGTTTTAGATCATTATCTCGCTGGAAGATGACGTCCGACACATTTTTGTCCTATATTTCTATATTCCTGCACAAACCTTGTTAAAGGATATCAACATATTCATTGGCAATCACTCGTCCGGCAACCCTTACGCACTCTACGACCTCCTCCATACATCCCCATATCATTACATTACCCCACTACTTTTAATTGATTGTTTTATTTTTAAATCCACGCCCACAGAAACATCAAGGAGTCTTGAGACTTACCTATACGTTGTGTTTAAATTAAAATTCGTTTTGATTTCTTCCATTTTTGTTCATTTAGTCTTTTCATCTATAGTAAAGCCGAATTTAAGAAAATAACAAAGAAAAACCATAAGAAGTACTCACGTTTTACCAAAAATTTGAATCTAACGATTCCACCAGTATTGATTATAGAATTAAAAAAAAAAACTTGAATAACACAGCACTATTACGGCGACTAATCTTTCTTTACTTCACAAAGTCAACTAAATAATCACATGCCTTTGTCTTCATTTGTAAATATTCCTTTTATTTTTATTTTTTATAAATAACTATACCTCATTTTGAAAATACAAGAAAAAAAAGAAATTGGTATTTTTATTTGTCGTTTGAAACTTTGGTAGCATTGAAGATAGCAGCTAGTATACCAATTTGATAAGGTATCCGCATACTCTCCCGAATTCAAATCTTTGTTGTTTTCATTACATGTAATTTTTTTGACAAGAAAGAAGAAGCGAGCAGAAAAATGGCAAATCGAAGACAGCTATAATTAGTTTTACATATACATATGTACATATGCTTAGTAGTTGTATAAGCGCTTCTATTTGCACATACATACATAAGTACATAAACAGTATTTCCTATTGATGGGCAGTCATTATTATTATATTGTATTTATTGTACATATGCCTATTTGACAAAGAGGCATTTATCCGCTTTTTGCGGATTTAAGTCAGTGCTAAAAATTAAGTCGTAAAGACAGGTCAGAAACCATCAAGCCGGAGTTACTTAAAATTAAAATCGTATACAATAGATATATCATTTATCTTAATGCTGAAAATAAATGAAATCACTTGTGTTGAAATATACGTTTGTTATTTTTTGGAAATCTGACATTGGTCTCATAGACTACTACCAGAGAACCTAAATGAATTTTATTATTTCAATTTTTGTTTATGCGCATACCAAAGAACTTCTGTGCATATGTATGTATATACATTTTGTTTATAGAGTGGTGTACTTCGTTGCGTAAATTGATAGGTGTGGTGACATTTTATTTTCGAACTTGCGCGTTTTCGATGTTCCCTCATCGTAATTAACATTTTAGTACAGCTAACATTTGCTCCTTCTCTATTCATTGACGTTCTCTGCTATTATTATTGCGTAATGCGTTCAAGTTTTTATTTGTTTAGTAACTTGCAATTAATTATAATTTTTGACATTAAGAATCCCCTTTTCAATTAAATACGAAAAAAATTAATTTTGCCGCATGTATTATTATTATTATATACATTTTTCTTTAGTAGCTATCATAAGAGTTAGGATTTTTCTTAAGGAATAATTTTCCGTATATAATTATTTCAAAGGTTTGGATTGTAATGTAGATGCAGGCCCGACAACAGGGTATGATTCCCCCTGGGCCCGGAGTTCCCGAAGGAGGTCGTATTTTCCAAACAATTAAGTGAATAGTTAAAAATTAGAATGTTTTTGATAGGGGATTAATTCGAACATTTATTTAAACGTTGTGATTACCGATAAAGGAACGTTTTCTCGCTTTCATAGATTGTCACGAAAAAACCGGCAAAGCTATTGCCGATTTAATTTGCAATACATTGGAAGATTGCCGCGGACAGGGCTACAATAATGGTAGTAATACTTGTATGAGCGGGGAACATGAAGGAGCGCAAAATCACTTCCAACGTTAAAATAAGTTAGGAGTTATTTCGCCCTGTGGTGCTCACACTTTGAATTTGGTTGAAGACGTCTTGACTGAATATTTTCAGTAGCAAACCACCAAAATACTCAATTCACTTCACCTTCTTTCTAATATATTGTAAGATGGTTTTTCAGAATCGTGGCCGTCAAGCCATTTGCGAAACATCTTCCCCGATTGATAAACGTTTTGAAAGAAGTTAAAAACTCAACCCTACAGCAGAAACTCGTTGAGACGTTGATGGAATTATCAAATATAATATATGAACAAATTTTAGTGCGTTTTGATGACCTCCGCATAGTTTAAAATCTGTTAGTCAATCAATGAAAGAAACTTGGTTTTTCCATCGACGCTAGAAAGTTAGAAATATAGAAAGCCTTTTGTGGATTTGCAATTTCTACCTATATGAAGAAGTGGATGGAAATTGCAGTACAGAAATTGAATTAAAAAGAAATCGGTCTCATTTCTGTGGCCGTTAATTTTATGAAAAAAGAAGATCTTAAAAAAAATTGGCAAAAAAGTATTCCGTTGATGTATTTGATAAGTTATCCTATGAAGCTATTCACCTCAGATAGGTTTACGATGCAGATTTTGAAACCCGTCTTACTCCCTACAACTTATGTTATTAAATGCAATCAATTCTTAAAAATTAGGAAAACTTTACCAAAATATTTGCATCGCTTTGAGAATATTTTGAACTTTACCCGTTTCTGTTGCAAGTGGTAAACGTTCGTTTAGTGCTTTAGCAAGGATCAAATATTTAAATAGATTTTAGGACTAGTTACTTTGTATTATTGACGTATTCGCTCACTTCTAAGTTCCAAATAATTGAAGATCGGATGATCTTAAAATGAATATTCTAAAACTTAATCATGATGGCCAGCAGATTTCAAAAGAACCGTCTTTTTATTAATTAGATCGAAAATTAAATGTTTGAATGAGATGTTTCTGTCTTCTTGTTAACTATCAAGTATTGCTATCCCAATACTCATATATTCCAGTATAATATGAAAAAATATTTTTGACTGAACTGATTTATACATTACGGTATTGATTTTCAATATTGTACAAAACAAATTTGTTCCACCCAACATTAACAAGAAATCAAGTTTAGTACAGATTTGATGAGACCATAAAGCACTTTAGTAGCGTTTTAATAGAAATATTTAATTCGAATCAAATTACCTTAATGATATTTACTTTATTAAAAGCTCAGTCCTTAGTATTTATGTATTTTTATATAACAAAGATTATTATTCTAAAATATTTTCAGACCCAGAGTATTTTTAAAGAACATGAACCAGAACACATATAAAGACATATCTAGGAAAGAAAGAAATACACTCGATTTCAACAAATTTTATGAAGAATATTGTAAGAAATTTGAATTTTTCTCAATAATAAAGTACTATTATCATTTCATATTCAAAAGTATTCCCTCAAACAGGCAAAAATGTGGACTTTAGATTTCAAAATCGACAATCTACCAGATTTCTGCCTAAACGGCAACAATTTGAGCGGAGTATTAAAGATCCCCATATTCAAGTGAATGATAAACTACGTATGACAGAATCAATAGAACCACGTGATATGCAAACAGGAAAAAAGTTGATTAAGTTCTCACAAGAAATGGAACCTTCATTGCTAGTAAAGACCGATCTCTTTCCATTACTATTGTCTTCTGACAAAGCATTTATCGAAAATTCCAAACAAAAAAGAAGCTTTGCTCATAATGATGATTTAACAGAAATAAATCCATGGTATAAGAACGACTACGATTACGATTTCATAGAATATCCTAAATCTACATCAGACTCAAAGTCTCGGAATATAGAAGAAGATGAACAACCTTGTTCTTCATGTGGGGGCAAGAATAAGAAACCTCCCTCAAAAACTGACAGCAATGTAATGACCAGGAATAATAAATGTAATTGCAAAGGATATCAACATGAATGTCTTTGTAGCTCGCGGAAAGTGTCACGTTCAATATACGATACTTGGTAAGTTTTATACATTACATGAAATGACTTCAGTAAGATTCAGTTACTCCAATTACCAGGTATTCAGTATTCAACATGAGTGCGCCCTTGCCGTTCCTAACAACGAAATTGAGAATATTCCGCAAAAGGAGAAATATTTGGTTCAAAACTGCACCATCAATAACGTATTTATTTCATTTTTAAACAATAATTTTATATTTACAGTGAAATTTTTTATCTATTCTGTTGCATGTTGCACTAAAGCTCTCTATATTTATAAGTACATACCCATAAATACATATCCAATTACATAGTACATTTGTGTGTCTATTTGCGCATTTTCTGCCTAAATGTTGTTTCTAACGCCACATCTCCAGAGGCAATGTTAAATTGCTAACCACCTGTCGAATACATTGCCATTAAGGTTGGCAATGTTATTGTGCGGGCATTTACTATCATGAAATATTCATTCTCGAAATGGCGTCGGCTAGATATGTTCAAACCGATATAGCGCATCTTTGACCACTTAAACCGTTTAAAAATTTTATGAGAATGACAAAAATTTATGTGGAGGATGAAAAATGTCTTTCAATATGTCTTTCGCACAAAATCAAATATTCGCGTAAGTGGCAAAAAAAACGTAGACGCACCATCATCGGCCAATAATATTCAAGCGAACTCGCGGCATATTTTCTAAGTATTTCGTATTACAATGACAACAAATTCATTCATAAGGAACGTGCGTCTGCTTCAAAGCAAAGTGCGTTCATTCATAACTCTGTGCCGCGCTATTTTTCTGTGCGCCTGGTAAACCACATTTGGTTTTCATATAGAATTCCTACCGCAAATGCGCGAATATAAAAATTAATGAAATTGAATTTGAATGGCTTCAGTAAAATTGAAGAATCAGCAAAATTTCAATTTTACAATTTGTATCACTGAAAATCCTACCATTCCCCTCGAATTTATATGTTGCCCACAAGCTGCTTCCTCACAACATTTGCTAACAATCAGAAATTAAAGAATTTGTCTGATGATCCCTTCAGAGAGGAGAATTGGCAACATGACCTATTAGCGAGTTAAAATAATATTTTAATTTTAATCATATCATGCACTATATATGGCATTAAATTAAAAAATGTATATGAAATTGGCATTTATATGAAATCATTAACTACTTCTATATACTCTAAGCACACTGCATATAGTACTTTTATATGTTTACTTATTATCATTATTACATAGTTTGTCGATTTTGTCCATTTTATCTAAATACGACGCTATGAAATGCAGACCAATCGGTAACCGCAATATTTCAAAAGAACATAAGTCAACTTTCAATAGCAAACCACTGCAAAAAGGACAAACGAGACAACATAGCCGACCGACATTGTCGTAAAATTGTCGGTTCAAACAAATTTTGTCAATTCCGAGACGATGCGCAAAATTCGGCGTCAATATGTATGAGAGCTCATATGTATTGTATATTTGTCGACAAAGTCGTCATTTGGTTTTTTTCAACAACACAATGTCCGCGCGAACTCGCCGTTATTTCGTTGGCTTGCCTCCATGCACAGAGGCGTGTCAAGTGACGGCTCATAATATATTAATATGTTGCTTAATTTGTATTGAAAAATACTAATGCATTAATGACTTATTTTCGTAATATAATTAATATATACGTAAAAATATAAATACAAATAAATTCATATCTACAATCGTTTTTAAAATAAATTCGATTAATAAAAACTAACTGAAATAATTATGTGGCAGTGCGCCCCTGACCACTTCTTGTTTGCGATCGTTCAACTTGCTTCTCGCAAAAAGCAAAAAGTGTGGACAAAACTAATTGCTTGTGCGGGGCAAGAAGAAGCAAGCATAAGCGTACGTGTTTTTAAAAATGTATGTGTGATGATCACATTTGTGTAAATACGCTATTGTATAAGCCTACAAGTAGCCAAAGAATCAGCTGTTTTCCTATGTGTGTAAAACAGCCGTGATCACCTGATCGAATCTGATTTTTTTTTGACACAGAGATGTAAATGAAAGGCTTGTTTGTGAACATGTATTTGTAATGAAGAATACTAATGAAAACTTTCAAGAATATTTTCGAAACAAAAGATTATTATATATTTATTGCTTTTCCTCACAACCTCTGAGCTTGCAATATAGGTGCGTTACCGATCATTTTTGGGTGTTCGGTTCCCCAGGAGATCTATATTCACCCATATAATATATACAGTTCTAAAACAATCTACTTTTTATAACAATTGTATCTCGAAAAGATAAATACATAAAATCAGGTACATGAATCAGGTTCATGAATATTAATTATTTGAATTGAACAAAAAAGAAATAAATATAAAAAATGAGGTACAATTCAGGAACAATAACAATAATCAAAACAATCTACTAAGTAATAAATAATATTCACAAAATATTCTAAATCACCGTTACACAATAATATATTTGATAAAATTGGAAACATTTAATAATATTTCAATACAAAAAATGATAATTTAAATAATACTATGTAAATTTAATCTTTAGGAATTAAAACAACCCAAAAATATTTGAATATGGAATAAAAACATTCTTAAAGTTATAAATTTTAAAACAAACACGACAACACACTAGAGGAGATTTCTGTCCTTTGGACGTTTTAGTAGTAGAATAGTGGTTGGCAACCCGTACCAAGTGTGATTTTAGTAGAATTTTCGAGGCAACCCGTACCAAGTGGGATATTTTTGCGTGTGTTTAGTGAAAATCTTAGGATTAGTTACTTGTAGATTTATACAATGAAATACGCATAAATACGGGAATATGCAATAAACCCAAACATATGAACATATTTTCCTGATATATTTTAATTATATCTGGAAGTAAAATATGCCATTAAAGTAATTGAATTATGATATGCTTAGATTCCAATTAATAAAATAAAAAAATTAAATAAAATTTAATTTACATGAGTTTTAGGATTCGAACTTATATGCTCGTATTTGGATTGAGCTTAACTCCTTCACGCTTACGACCTAAGCCACCACAAAAGTGGAAACGCGGCCGCTTAGCCACCGTTTTATTGTTATCCTTTGCTCAAAAAGCAATTGCTCACGCAACGCACATACATAAGTTGGAAAACTAGCATATTAAATGTTTATTTTATTATAAACTCTGGGGTTTTTACCGGTAATACAGATTTTTAATTCAGAAGGCTTTTCATAATTATAAATTTGTCATATCAATTGAAAACATAAATCTAAATAGGTATGCGCAACGATTTTTCATTTAGGAATATTCGTTGTGTCTATTTATAGCATTTCGCATATTGTGTGGTGTATTTTTCTTTTTCGAAGTTATATTTTTCGATGTTTCCTCCTCTATAATTACAAATTAGTACTCAAAAAGATTTCATTAAACATTTGCTCCTTCTCTATTCATTTACGTTCTCTGCTACGACAATTGCTCATAGATGAGATGCGAACATACACCTGTGTCTACTCTTATTTTTGGAAATAAGCAATACGAATTTTGATGTATTTGAAGATGATAGAAGAAGACTAAACAAAAGCAAACAAAATTATAACCAAAGCAACATCCCATTTCCCAGAGTTTCCAACCTCTCTCACATAAATTCAAATAGAGTAAATGGTAACGAGTTTCAACATTTTGCCCAACCTAGTATAAATCGATTTTTTGACTATTCTCATGGCAATAACTATCGAGGATATACCCTATCACATACTAACCCAAATCACTTTTATTACTCAAATCCAAATGAATGGAATTATTATCCAGAAATGAATACATCTTTAAATTCTCCTGATAGTTATACGAACAGAAATTATTTTATTGCGTGTTAGTATAGTAGTAATACCAATATGTACCTAAAATAAATTCGCAACAAATAAGAAGGCAAAATGAAATTAATTCGAATCAATCTGGAATAAAGCGATACGGCGCTCCTCAACCAATGGAATTTGAGCAGTCAAATTTTCAATTAGAAGCCTCGGAGGATTGCCCACGATCGAAGGTAAATTTATGAAGTTCTTGATAGATACGGGGTCTTCTGTCAGTTTAATTAAGTTCCAAGTTCTTAGTAGTAGAATCATTGAAATTGAACCAATATTACTACAGCTACAGGAAAAGTATTACTTAAACAGATTCAAAAAGTTTTCGACAATTGCCATAACCACAAATTTACTTTTTACTTTTATAATTTTTCCGATAATTACGACGGATTAATAGGTTAGAATGCACTTCGTCAGCTCAACTCTAAGATCGATTTAAAAAATAATACAATTAGTTTACAAGGACATATATACAAATTTTTCAACAATTTTAAAAATTATACACACTAACTTACTAACCGAGTTGAATGTTACTGATGACAAATTTACTGCCAAATTTAGACTCAACCATTTAAATAATGAAGAATCGCAAAAATTTAAAAAATTTCTGGGGAAACACAAAATTTTATTTTACAAAGAAGGTGAGAAACTTACATTCACTCACAAAATTAAACACAAAATTAAAACTATTCATGAAGATCCCATCTATGTTAAATCTTATAGATACCCAGAAGTACATGAAATGGAAGTAAATAAACAGATAAAAGATATGCTAGAACAAAAACTAATTTGCCACAGTACTTTTCCTTATTGTGCACCGGTATTGGTGGTGCCTAAAAAGCTAGATGCTTCAGATAAAGAAAAATGGAGATTCGTTGTAGATTACCGCAAGTTAAATAATATCACTGTGGATGACAAGTACCCCATTCCAAATATGGACGAGATACTTGACAAGTTAGGTAAATGTCTATACTTCACGACAATTGATTTGGCGCAAAGATTCCACCAAATAGAAATGGATCCTATAGATAGACAAAAAACCGCTCAAAATGGCCACTTCGAATTTTTGAGAATGCCATTCGGTTTGAAAAATGCACCAGCCACTTTCCAAAGGCTGATGAATACAGTTTTGGAAGGTCTAATTAGGAAAGATTGATTGATGGTTTATTTAGATGGCATAGTAGTTTTCAGTACATCTCTGCAAGAGCACATCGAATCGCTCGATAATGTGTTTCAAAGATTAGTTGAAGCGGATCTAAAAGTACAGCCGGAGAAAAGCGAATTTTTAAATTAAGAAACCGAGTTTCTTGGCCACGTTATTACCCCTACTGGCA